ATCGCGTGTTTCGACTACAGAAAATTTCCAAAGGCATTCTACGCAGTGCTCCGGTCCTATCTTATGACCAATATCTGTCGTACCATTAAGACCCGGGTGTGCTCTGCTGCATTAGAGGATACTTCTACCTCCAAAATCATCCGAAAGCCTTCTGCAGAGAGCTCGATTGTAGTCTTATGACCTAAATGTCTCACATGATGAAGTTTCAGGCATGATTATTAAGGTAATGAGCGCTGTGAAACCTGAAGTGTAAACATACTGAATGTACCAGCATACTCACAATAATACTAATTAATTTCGTAGTTTAAGTATAGAAACCTGGTGATTTATAAACATTGGTGATTTATAAACATGACTAGGAGGAGGGGCTGCCGCCCCCATTAGTAACAAAAATGGGAGGGAGCATGTCAAATCCATAGGTTATTGTAATACTGAGGGGGGCCATAAGTGAGCCCCTACATAGACATATTAGGAAGGGGGGCACTACGACGAAGCTTCGCCCCATTCGCTTAAAAACCTGCGCATGCCTATGGTACACGTACAGTATCTGAATCGTGGAAACTTGGGCAAGTTGGTAGGACATAACTGAATGCAGGAACAGCGCAACCTAGAAGTAGTTACTTCGTAACTACGGAAGCGAAAATACAAGGACAGAAAAGAGCGCTGCGCTCTTTTCTGTCCTTGTTTTGTTTTCGCTTCCGTAGTTACGAAGTAACTACTTCTATGTAGCGCTCTTCCTGCATTTAGTTACGTACAGTATCCTTGAAGCTAATTTTCGTTCGCGGGAGCGGCACATGCACTGATGCCGATTTCTGGTGCGTACCGCTGTAGTTACTCTAGTCACTGCGATGTCGATTCCTTCTAATATAATCAAAGGCTGTGGCTGGTCAAGCACAATCAATATTTTAACTTGCTCTAATATCTTCAAAAACGTACGAAGACGCTCTAGTGGAGAACGCGCTGTTCTGCACTAAACTTGAACAGTCTCCAGCCAAAAGAGCAATCAACACTGTGCGTCAGCCTTGGCCACGTGAGTGTCGACGTGGTCAACGCATGCCAATGGTGGCGCACCTTTTTCCTCGACTTGTGCAACTAGACGCTTTTGAAGCGTACGCGCGCGCTAGTGCTTCGCCCTTAAGACACTCAGCCAGCTGCTAACCCACAGGTCCCGGGATCAAATCCCGGATGCGGTGACTGCATTTTCGATGGAGGTAAAATGCAGTAGGCCCGTGAGGTCAGATTTGGGTGCATGTTGAAAAGCACCATGTAGCCAAGATTTCCGGAGCCCACCACTACGGCGTCTCTCATATTCATATGATGGTTTCGGGGCGTTAAACCCCTCATAACATAATCTCAATTTCACTATGTATTGTTCTCTCTCTTTGTTTCTGGTTATTTTCTCTTTATTCCTCGTTATTTCCCTCGTGTTAGTTCTAGTTTTGGACTGACATCAGCTGTACACTGTGGTGGCGCTTTTCCAACTTCTGTGGGGTATACTAACTTCAGGAGTTTTTTTGTAACTCAGAAAAACCTACGGCCAGCTATAACAGAATCGCAGTTAAAATAAAAATTATTCAGACAGCTTAGATTAAGAACACATTCTAAAAGCAGGGACAATAAAAAATAAAATTATTATTGTGAAAACTGCTTGAATAAAGATCTCACCAACAAAAACGTTCAGTACACCATAATATATTCTGCTCGGCAATTGCTTGTTGAACTGAATCTAGCGTATACCGTTCGTGCTACATTACATAAACCAGTTCCATCAAATCGCTAATGTGTGGAATGCATGAGACGCAAAGCAACCGCATTCTTGCATTGTTCAGATTTTGTAACAAAGCACCACATAAGAGACACTCCGATGAAGATGCAGTAGCTGCTTTTGAATTTGCGCGATAGGAGCCACAGGCATTGGCGTACGTGCCACAGCGCAATGGCGAGCAGCTCTAGTGCCAGGGCTTCGACAACTGAACAATTCACAGCATATACTTGGAGTGAATGATCATGAGCGGGGCGAAGCGTCCGTCAGCCAATCCGGGCTTCCGTCCGTCTGTCCGCGTGACGATCCGTGCATTAATTCATGCACACGTCCACCTGTCCATGTGTCCGTCCGTGAGTCCACCCGTGAGTCCGCCTGTCTGTCTGTTTGTGCGTCCATCCGTCCGTACGTCCCCACACTCAACCATCCGTCTGTCCATCTGCCACTCTGTCTGTACGTCCGTCTGTACGTCCGTCCTTGCGTCCATCTAGTGAACACTCCAAGTGCTGCTATCTCCCATCTCGCAACCCCTGTGGCACATACCCGCTCTTTAGTGGGTATGTGCCTCCGGTGGCTTCGTACGTACGTGCATACACATACATACATACATACATACATACATACATACATACATACATACATACATACATACATACATACATACATACATACATACATACATACATACATACATACATACATACATACATACATACATACATACATACATGCATTACCTACAACCATACATACATAAACACATACATACATACGGAAAGCCACGGACCCACGCCATACGGAGCCTCGCCCCTAAAAAATCAATAAAAGTAACAGTTGGTTAAGGGTATATGATCGCGCTTGTTTTTGTCAACGTGGCGCAGCGCCACGATGCGACACAGTTCTAGAAATAGGAGCACGCAAACTTTTAAGCCAGCTTTCGCTGGAGCGGACTAGCAGGATGAAGAAAGAATGTCTCTGCCGTAGCCAGGTTTCTTAAAGGCACGATATAAGCTTCATACTCGGATTCCAGCTAACGTTCATTGTTTCGCACGATGATGTTGTGATCACAGTAACCTATATCTTAAGATACACAATACATTATTTAATTTACCACAAAAAACAGATACTGCTGCACGTCTTGCGAAAAGTATCGTGATACCGATACAAGATACTTAAAGAGTATCTAATATACATTCATCTTTAATACTCAAAAAGTATCTAAAATACATGCATATTCCATGCTTCAAAGCACCGGGAGTGAGCAGTTTACCTCGTTGAGTGATTCCTCTCCAGATCAGTTGTTTTGGTCGATCGTTTGCTGTAACGAGGTCTTGATGAGCAAAAAATTAAGGGACCCTTATGCTTCGCCTTTAAGAGTTGAACGCGATCGCGAAATACTGCTTCTAGTGCGTCCTTTGACCGCTAAGTGCATACTTATTAGTATTTTGTGTTAGCGCGAATGGTACATACAGGATTTTCATCTAAAGCAAGAGTCGCATGGCTTCCAAGATACACACCACGTGCTCGCCATCTCGGAGGCTATAAAGAGTCTCACATTGCCTCACAGATAGCAGCACACTATCTAGCGTTTGCTGTTTGCTTGATGAACACTTCTGGAAAGGCATGATATGTTTCCCGCTAGATGGACATAGTTCTTCATTTTTAGAGCTGTTCTAAAGTTCCTCTGTGTTTTTATCGGCAAAGGCTTCTCTGCCCCGGCCTTTTGTGACGTAGTTTGAGGCTTCCCAAATGCTCCTACAAATCGCCAAATGGGCTCGTTTTTGTCGTGACACTTGTCAAACGAGATGCGTTGAAAGGGTCCTAAAACACTTATTCAAGTAACCATGAAATGAATTCCCTAGATGAGCTCTTTGCCTCACGAATTCAACGCTGCAAAAATATTAAGAATCCGTCCAGTGCGGGTGGAATTACAAAGGTTTGTCGCATTGCAATCGTCATATCTCTTCTTTCGTCCCAACGAAAGCACTGAAAGCTGAGCAGGGGGAGGGGGGTTGAAGGGGCAGAGAAACTACCACGCCTCGTGACTTTGAGCACTTTTTTTTCCTTCGAATGCAGGGCTTTTTCAGTGTGATCGCACGCGCACGCGCGGACAAGTAGCAGCCTCCGGCAGCATTCTCAGTAACTTGATTTTTTGATCGCAGACACACAGACTATTTTTCGCTCACAACCAACGGGGCCGACACCGCCGGTGGTATTTCTTCTACATGAGCTATCTCACGCTATCGCGTTAACCCAAATCCTGTGGAGTGGCCATTGTGTCTTACGCAGTCTCTTACACAGACCGGAACGCGCTAGTGTGTGCGCGCGTTCTGGCAGTGTTTGGACAGCTGTTCTTCATGCTCAGTAAGGGTGGTCACGCTGCTCACCGGAGTGATCTCCGCTGTAAGCTGCTTCACGTTTAAAACATTCATAAGCTTACCGCTTCAGCTACATGCCTTCTCTATGGACGTGAGAAATAGCTATGTATATCCGAACACTCGCTTAAAGTCTGTAAACGTGTTACATTTTTTATTTATTTATTTATTTACAGTACCTCAAAGGCCCCAATGAAGGGGTTTTACATGAGGGGTGGGCTATTACAATCGGTTAAAGGAGTAGATGCTCGATCGCTGCTTTGAAGTTTATGATACTGGAGTGGTGCGCAACGTGAGGAGGAAGGCGATTCCAATCTTGTGCGGTCTTGACAAAGAAGGATGAAAGGTGCGCAGTGGTGTGAGCTCTTGGCGGGTAAACAGCTTTCCTGTGATTGATGCGGTCTGAATAACGATGGGCTGGCTTGATGGTAGGAGTACGAGGCGATCCATGATAAAACTTGAAAAACAGGCACAGACGAGCTATTCAGCGGTGTGACGAAAGGGTAGCGAGGTTAGCACAAGATTTAAGTTCGGTTACGCTTGACTGATATGAATAATCTGAAAAGATGAATCTTGCTGCCTGTTTCAAGTATTTTAGTATTGTTACTCTGATGAGGGTCCCAAACAGCGCATGCGTATTCAAGTTTTGGTCTGATTAGTGTCTGGTGAGCGAGTAGTTTGACAGGGGTAGAAGCTAGATGAAGGTTTCGGCGCAGACAGCCAAGAGCACGGTTTGCTTCGTTAGTAATATGCGTTATGTGAAGGGACCATGTTAAATCAGAAGAAAAATGGTATGTGTGATCATGGTATGTGTGATCTTCTTATCGCAGCTAATAATGTACGCATGGGTTGGAATGACTCACCAATGACGTTGAGAGCCTTCACTTCACCCGTCTGAAGCTGCGCAGACTCCACAACAGGAATCCATCCGTTCGGGAAAACGGGTGGCGCGTTTTTCATGGCTCGCGCTGAACGTGGGCGCACGGGCTGCAAAAACATGAGCGTGATTTTTTGTGCCTGCCAGCTTACCACTAAGTCCTATTCACTCAGTTCAATAAAAAATGACACATTATGCATTGTGTAATGCAACATTTGCACTCAGCTTGGTGCGTGTTTTTTTTAATAGACCCTTTTTAAAGTCCTCAAGTGCAGTTCACTGTGCTGCACATTCACCTGACCAACAGTGGTACTTCAACTGAAAAGGAGGTGTCGACTCCACGTGTTAGTGCTTGTACATTATTGTGCTTATATCAACAGAGCTCCTACCATTTCCGTGTCGTAGCACAAGCAAACGGCACTTTATTACGCCGTTTCAATAACTGTAGCTGCCATTAACTAGGCCAATTTTAACACATCACTGTTAAAAAATGTCCTATACCAGGCCCTGCGGTATAACAACAAGGTTAACTCTTGTTGCCAGACTGTATCCTGTTGCAGCATAGGGCACTAATGAAGTCGTAGTTGCTTAGAAACACTACAGATGCCGTACATTGAGCAACTACTTTAGAAACCACGGTATTTCTCCACGTTACTATTCCCAAAACACAAAATGAGGCCATGCTCATTTATCAACAATAATGATGCCATCCTCAACTATCTGCTATGAAGCCGTAGTGCCTCTAACACTGCTAACACCGTAACATAGGTGAAACCATTTAAACCCGTTGGCATGTACCGATTGTGTGAATAGCGTACGAGGAGTTATTACATAAACTGAACGCACAATTCATATTTCCTACCGCACATGGCACACATAAGATCTTACATTAGAATCGCAGCACTTGCATTGAAAGCATATATTTGTATCAATTACTGTTTGATAACAGCAGCTTCAACAAATATTCAAAGTACCAGAAAGTGATAAAAAATGTAGGTGCAAAGAGTGCCACATGCACCAGCGACCTAAACAGATCATTAGTGTGCATGTTTTCATACTGTCTCAAGCATCAGTGTATTAGTTTCTTCGTTTGTTGGTCTAACAAGGCAGAAGTTGTGTAGGCGAGAGGCCACAAAAAAGTATCGGTCAGTATGTTCAAGTTTAACCACTAATCCCGAAGTTTTTTCTTCTGAAAGAAAACTTTGAGAATGAGTTTTTTGAGTTTAGGCCATTCCTCAACAACAAGTTCTGATATAATGAAGCTTTTCCTACTAATAAGCAGTAATTTATACCATGGGTGAAAAGAAACCTTGGAACGCACGTAACATGCGTAATGCGTTAAATCTATTCCAACAGTCTCAGTGATTCCTGAGTGTTCTAAACATGCGAATCAGGTAAAAGGGGCTCCAGAGGACCCAGAACGGCGCAAAGCTTGAGACATCTCTAAATAAAGCTATTAACTTTTCATTCGGTCTTACAGGAATAAATGCCCGCAGCCACTCCCTCTGGTGAAAGGGCTTAATTTTCCAACCGGGGAGTGCTTTTTTCATTTTGAATGAGATGTACCAACCGGTGAGTGGTTTTCTGTTCTCGAGCACAAAAATAAACTATTTTAAAGTGTCAAAACGAATGTTGCTCATTTCAAGCCTTCCTCGAAGGTTCGCATAAAAATGAATAAAGCATTTCTGTATGTCGTGTCGTTTCTTTGTTAAAGAGGAAACTTTATTTGAGCTACCAACCAGCGACGGACTTGTAAACCGGTAAGGGATCCATTCTGTTATTACTTGAGCTCATACCCCTCAAGCAGTATCTACTACACAAGCACACATTATAACGACTCAGAAGTGGCAACCTACCTGCTTGCGCATGACTTTCGTCTATTTTACAAATGAAATCTAGTGAAGTTAAGTTCGTCTAAAAACCTGGAATAAATTGCCTATGCCAATGTTTTCAATACTAGTCAGATATATGGGCCTGAACAAAACACAAATTTTGCACTTGACGTGTCTGAAGAACAATGTGAAGATGTGACACAGTGTCCCGAAAATATGGTACTCAAATGATAGCTGGATGGTTATCTCTTCAATGAAGGTGCATGCAGCAATGGTTATGAGCGGAAATGCGGATAGTCTTTTCAGACCATGGCTCTAAGGTGCCCGGTGCTAGGTTGAGCGTCATTGGTCTTGCTAGTAATTTATCGAGTGAGCACAGCGAGAAATCTGGCTCGCGTACCTCGAGTCACGCGGCTTTCTTCTTTTTTTGCCGTGTTATGGTGCATAACGCTGGCACTTTCTTCTCTGGGACAGAAAAAAATGTAGGACAGGTAATAATCATTAAGCGAAAGGGAAAATGGAGAGACACTTCGGGATCTCTATGGGTTCCTTGAGTACACTTAGTCAGCAAGACCTGTAAATTGCTTTTTTATAAAATATATTGTAAAGAACAGGTGAAGCTTGCGGGCAGATCGTCATCGGTCCTATCATTATGGTCTTCGGTCGTCTTAATAACCATCGATGATTCCAAGAGTGGTCTTGTGGTAGAATTTCTTAATAATAATAATATTATTAATAGCAGCTTTATTCTGGCATGTAGACATTACAATTACATTTTACATGACTGTCACCTGACTAGGCCTAACTATCCGGCTCGAGGAAAAAAATAAACACGAAGCAGTAGCGTTGTCCGTAAGAAAGAATTGGGGTGCAAAGCAATCCAAACACATCCTATGAAAAATATCATGTAACAAATACAGGAAATCGAAGAGAACTTTTGTGGCATCGTACAAATGATTCAAACAATAACTTATTGATGAATTGCCGATACGAAGAGGCAAATGTTCAAGTGATTGATTGATATGTGGGGTTTAACGTCCCAAAACCACGATATGATTATGAGAGACGCCGTAGTGGAGGGCTCCGGAAATTTTGACCATCTGGGGTTCTTTAACGTGCACCCAAATCTGAGCACACGGGCCTACAACATTTCCGCCTCCATCGGAAATGCAGCCGCCGCAGCCGGGATTTGAACCCGCGTCCTGCGGGTCAGCAGCCGAGTACCTTAGCCACTAGACCACCGCGGCGGGGCAAAAAATGTTCAAGTGTAGCTAAAAATGCGCATAACTAACGATTGAAATCATATGAAGTACAACTACATTAGAAAGAAGACTTTGCGAGATAGAATCGCATAAAGTAAACTCGGAAGGAAGCAATTCATCCTAGGTCGAAAAGTCATCTTATCTTCTTGTTAAAGTAATGAATGGATCCGCTTAGCTGAGCTAATTCTAAAAAAAAGAAAACTATTACATAAACGTACAATTTTATGCTGAACGGACTGTGTGCCATAATTAGTTACATCAACTTATTGTGTGCCATAATTAATTAAACAAAGAAAGTATTTCGTAAGTTGCATTCAATATCTCGAGGGAGATACATGTAGCTGAATTCAGCAAATTTTTTTTTGTTTACGGTTATAGAAAAAGACCATAAGTTTGAGTTTGTAGAGTTCAGAAAAGCCCACGACATAAAAACCAAGAATAAATTCCTATGGCTATTTGACCTTGTTGTTAGCCGCCTCAAATTGTTTATTTTTAGTGACCATTTTTTAGGAAATCAACCTTCTTGTTCCAAACAAAACTGCAGTATGTTGGATGCGAGAGAACAAAAAAAAGGTATACCTGCTTTGTCACAGAATGTAGAACAAGATGGTCGACGTGGATGAAAACACCAATGTATCAAGCCATTTTCATTTCGACAATAGTGACATTATCAAACCAGCTCAAGTCATTGCGGAAGTGTATGTCAAGAAACTTGCAATTGTCATCTTTACATGTGATTTCGGAATTACCAAAACAGAGTGTTGGGTTGTGATTTATTGCTTTGTTTTTACCACGTAATAAAATGAAATGAATTTCTTTAACTTTCAATCTCGGTTGATTTAAGGTCAACGATTTCTGTAACTTTTTAAGCCAGCTATTTGCTTTCTGTTGGAGTTCTAGGTGGGGGCAAGAAAAAAGAGATTGTTGTCGTCGCCATATAAACAACGATCGAAGATGAAAGAAGGTTTATGTGACATTGGCAGCAGAGACGCCACCGGAAACATGATCTACTCGGTGTCACCAGGCAGAAGACAGAGTTTATTGACCGCTTGAAACTTATATCTTGAAAAAAGGGAAAGGGGGCAGAGAGGGAACAAAAAGAGAGAGAAGACACATGCACATTCGGTCCTGCGTCCACTTCGGCAACCGCTGGCGTTGCAACACTTCTTCCGCCTTAGTACCCATAACGATGCACCGTTTTTTTTTTTTTGTTCTTGTGAACCGTCGTAGTGGTTGTGCTATTGCAGACGCGTTCTTGGCGTCTTCGGTCGTCACGTCGTTGTCAGGCAGCGCCGATTCTCGAGCGTTCTTGCTGTCTAAGAACAATTACTTTTCGCACTTTCGTGCGACAAGTAATCTCTGCCTCAGTATCGAGTTCCAAAAGTCGAGCACCGGTCGTGGCCCCTGACCCTTCCCGGCATCGATTCGTCACCCGTTTCGCAATTGCGCTCCTAGACGGATAGCCCGGGTGCGAAAATTTAGTCGGCTTGGCCGAAACACTGCGAAGGTTCAAAGACAAGTCCATCTTTGTGCGCAACCGGTAGCCCAAAAGTATTTCCTAAGGGGAAAGGCCCGATTGCTGAGGCGTATTTGCAGAGTTTCAAAGCACTCGGGCCAGAGAGGTCGTCAACTCGGCGTTTCCAGTCTTGGTTAATCAGTTCTTAACAGTCCGCACAGCACGCTCAGCAAGCCCATTGCTCTGTGGATGATGTGGAGATGTTTTATTATGAACACTGCCATTGCGATTCTTCAATTGATGGAATTCAAAGCCTGTGACAAAATGTTTCATTATCTGACACCATAGTACGTGGTATACCAAACGGAGCAAACATTGTTCTCATGGCCTCGATGGTACTGCGCGAATTGGCATGCACGTTCTCAGTCAATTTTCTATGCTGAAAACCGTATTGACAATCACTTATCACAATATTTGCAGCATGGTAAATAAATAAACGTTTGCGAATAATTCTTTAAGCAACCTTAGAAAAAAAAAGTGGTAGTACTTAATGACACCGG